CCCCCCCCCTTGTTTATCTTCTGGGACGCAGAGCTACGGCTTGGCAAAACTAGGTGCAGAATCTGAACTGGAGGAGGGGGTCCGCAACAGAGGGGAAAGCCCTGCTAACTCTGAGCTGGAAACCAAATTTCAGGACGGCCCCCGAGACCTCTCGGAGGTGTTGTTCTTTGGAGATCAGCCAATGAGTTTCTCGCGGCCTTGCAAGCTCTCTCAGCTTTCCTTTGTTGGGAAAGGTGGTTTGTAGGGGGGGAAAGGCTCTTTATTGACCGCCTTAACCCGTTTCTGGAATCCGGGCAGGGATGCAGCTTCTGCGAAGACGGGAGGGGGAGAGGAAGGGAGGCGCGGGAAGGTTTTCCGAGGCACCGTCGCTCCCCTGAGCGCAGGGATGCAGGGAAGGGGCTCCTCCCATGAGGGAGCTGCCCGTTGTGTCTCTGCATGAGTTGCTCCCCCTGAGCGCAGGGATGTAGGGAAGGGGCTCCTCCCATGAGGGAGCTGCCCGTTGTGTCTCTGCATGAGTTGCTCCCCCTGAGCGCAGGGATGTAGGGAAGGGGCTCCTCCCATGAGGGAGCTGCCCGTTGTGTCTCTGCATGAGTTGCTCCCCCTGAGCGCAGGGATGTAGGGAAGGGGCTCCTCCCATGAGGGAGCTGCCCGTTGTGTCTCTGCATGAGTTGCTCCCCCTGAGCGCAGGGATGTAGGGAAGGGGCTCCTCCCATGAGGGAGCTGCCCGTTGTGTCTCTGCATGAGTTGCTCCCCCTGAGCGCAGGGATGTAGGGAAGGGGCTCCTCCCATGAGGGAGCTGCCCGTTGTGTCTCTGCATGAGTTGCTCCCCCTGAGCGCAGGGATGTAGGGAAGGGGCTCCTCCCATGAGGGAGCTGCCCGTTGTGTCTCTGCATGAGTTGCTCCCCCTGAGCGCAGGGATGTAGGGAAGGGGCTCCTCCCATGAGGGAGCTGCCCGTTGTGTCTCTGCATGAGTTGCTCCCCCTGAGCGCAGGGATGTAGGGAAGGGGCTCCTCCCATGAGGGAGCTGCCCGTTGTGTCTCTGCATGAGTTGCTCCCCCTGAGCGCAGGGATGTAGGGAAGGGGCTCCTCCCATGAGGGAGCTGCCCGTTGTGTCTCTTCATGAGTTGCTCCCCCTGAGCGTCGGGATGCAGGGAAGGGGCTCGCCTGTTGTGTCTCCACGTGAGTTACTCCCCTGAGCACAGGGATGTAGGGAAGGGGCTCCTCCCATGAGGGAGCTGCCCGTTGTGTCTCTGCATGAGTTGCTCCCCCTGAGCGCAGGGATGTAGGGAAGGGGCTCCTCCCATGAGGGAGCTGCCCGTTGTGTCTCTGCATGAGTTGCTCCCCCTGAGCGCAGGGATGTAGGGAAGGGGCTCCTCCCATGAGGGAGCTGCCCGTTGTGTCTCTGCATGAGTTGCTCCCCCTGAGCGCAGGGATGTAGGGAAGGGGCTCCTCCCATGAGGGAGCTGCCCGTTGTGTCTCTGCATGAGTTGCTCCCCCTGAGCGCAGGGATGTAGGGAAGGGGCTCCTCCCATGAGGGAGCTGCCCGTTGTGTCTCTGCGTGAGTTGCTCCCCTGAGCGTTGGGATGCAGGGAAGGGCCCTCTCCCACGTCATGCCGCTTAATCTGGTGTTGTTCCACTGGCGAAGCTCTCAAAGAAAATTGTTACAGTTCTTTGTCAATTTTCTCATTGCTTTCAGAGCTACAATGAGCTCTTTATCCAGCAACATCGAGTCGAAAAAGGAAAACAGGGATGTTATTGAAAACTGAATGCCAGCGTGGGATATACGGGGAAACAAAATTGTGTGCAAAAATGAGGGTGTGAAATTTAAGGTTCGTGGAAATTTCTGCAGATTGTCATGCAGGGCCTTTCCTTAAAATGAAGAGCAGACCGATGAGGGAATAGGATGGGATTAGTGGGAAAACTGAAGGAAAAAGTGAAATAAACCAAAAAATTTGCCTGTGTCAGAAAGGGTAATAATGAACATATGTGGATCCTGACCACATGGATTATAATAATTGCACTCTTTTTTTAATTAATTGCATCCCAGCTCATTGCATGTAATGCATCCTGATTGCATTAAATAGTTGCATTCTGTCCATCCCCTCCCCACCACCACCGCTAGCACACTCTGATTGGAGCACCCCCCCCAGCACATTTTCCCAAAGAAATCTAAGAAATCCTAGTTGAATATCTGAACCCTCTAGCAAAATCCATCTTTCCGAAAGAGGCTTCCGTTTTTCGGCCTTGTTCCCAGGGTGCTTGAGAATTCCTTCCAGATTTCTCTCAGGGCTGTCTTTGAGCCGATCGGATCGTCAGGGGGACGGCTGGTCTCGTTTTCCTTGGCTCTTCGTTCCACCCCTCGGCAGCCTCCCTGGCTGCTCACCCCTTCCCCATCGGAAGCAGTCCGCAGGAGGAGCCCAGAATCGTGGCAGTTGTGCACCATATAAATTATTATTATTATTGTAGTTGGTCGCACAGTCAGCCAGATGTTCAGACTGGATCGGGCATTTTTGTCCACCGATCGAGTCCTTCCCAAAGACCTGGGATGGGCAGATGTTGTTTGATGGCGTTAAAGGTACCGTCGCAGTCCAAGTCAAACGGCCTTTGGCCATGGACTGATGGTGGTTTTGTCAATGCCAACGGTGTTCAAGTGGCGCTCCAGATGTTTTGGGATTGCGCCTAATATGCCTATAACTATTGGTACTTTTATTATTATTATTCGTCTCGAGGTCTCCCCTTGGGATTGAATGCAGGCGTGAGCAGCCAGGGAGGCTGCTGGAAGAAAGCTGATAGAAAGACTTCAACACCCGCCTTTTCTCCAACTTGTCACTAAATAAGAGCTGCAAGAAGGCCAAATTCTCCCCCTCCCAAGAAAACGCTCCCCCCCAATTTTGTATCTTTTTTTTTAAAAAAAGGGGGGGATTCTTCTGACTGGTGAAGGAATGCATTCTGCACACGTGCAGGGGTGCCCTCTTCACCCTTGGCATTCCTTCCCGGAGCGCCTCGGTCCTTCCAAAAACAGCTGCATCAACATCTGGCCTGCAAGCGGGAGGTGTGGGGATAAAAAGGCATTTGACGCGAACCAGATGGGAGGGAGGCTGGAAAGCAAACCGAATCAAGTGGGCTGCGAAACGAAGGCCAGGCTCTGAAAATCTTGCTAAGGCGTAGGTGGGCGGAGAAGCCAGAGGGAGCCCGCTACAAAAGGGATTGTTGGTGGAAAATATTTATGCAAAGACAGCCGTCATCGTGGACGGCCGTCAACTGCCAGCTGTGTCACCCGCGGGGAACAGCTTAACCAATTCCTGGTGCAGAGAGCTCGCCCAGCGCCTCTCTGCAAGAGGTGCCGTTCTGGCCCTTCCTTTCTTCTTAACCCAGTTTCTGCTTGGGGGTGTTTTTCAATCCCTCCATTATTTCAAAGGCTGCTGGGCCATAGAGGGGGGTCTCGAAAACAGGCGCACAATCGCTCAAAAAGAGTCGCCAACCAGGTCATCGGGGTGCGTTGAGAGGTCCTCACATTTTGGTGCCTTGTCCTCCAGGCTCGCCAGCAAGCTCAGCTCCGTCACCAGATGGCCGAGGACAGCAAAGCCGAATATTCCTCCATCTTACAGAAGTTCAACCACGAGCAGCGAGAGCATTACCACACGCACATCCCCAACATCTTTCAGGTGAGAATCCCTGTGGGCCTTGCAGATTGCAGCCTCTCTCATGCCACCTCCGGTCACGTTTGGACGTGACGGTGCATACAACCCCAGATTCTCCAGTCTGGTCCTGAAAGTGGGATAGGTGGAAATGTCCTTTTCGCGGGTCCCGCATTCCTCTTTCTTTTGCAAAGAGTAGGAGGGGTTGTCCTACTTTGGACAGTGTGAACAGCGGAGTCCCGAGTGCCAAACACACTCTGTAGATGCGGAAGAAGTTCTAGTTCTCTATCTATTCCGGTTTTCTGTCTATGAATGGGTGCAGATTCAAGCATTTGATGTTCCGTGTATTCGCCCAGAATCATTGAGAGTTGGGTATGGTTGGTCGTACAGTGAAACAGATGTTTAGACTGGATTTGGCATTTTTGTCCATCTGCCGAGTCCTTCCCAAGGACTTGGAGTAGGAAAATTATTATTATTATTGTTATTATTATTATTGGTTTTAATGTACATATAAAAAAGGAAATTAAAAAATCAGTCTTTCTTGCACACCAGTTGGGCAAGAAAGAGGGCAGAAATTAGGAGAATACTCTCCCCCCCCCCCCAGCCCTGCACTCCCCTTTTCTGCTAAGCTATCCTCTTCTACAATTATAAATCACTCATCC